GGCGCAGGTCGGTCTGTTCACCGGGAAGTGGAGCTTCCCCCCTCTCCAGTCGCATCAACCCTGCCCCACCCTGGATGAATCAAGGCGGGACCCTCCGTGCCCCGGGGATTCAACTTTCCAACTTCTTGCAAGTTTTGGCCAACTTTAGGGAACCTGGACAAGTTACTTGTTCTAACTTTTTGCAACTTTCAGCCAACTTTCGGGCGGTCCCTCAAAGTAACTTGTCCAACTGTTTCCAACTGTTCGGTAGCCTTTGAGCTCACGGGAAAATTGCTTTTCAACTTTTTTCCACTCGCGGACGTGGGTGGCGAGTTACTTTCCCGTCACGAAAAAATACTTGTGGGGACGCCCAAAAGTTGAGCCGTTGAGGACTTGGGAGAGTGCCGGAGGGGACCCTCAACTCTTCAACTTTTCCTTTCGACAACTTCTGCATAATCGGGAAAATCTTCAGGAGCCTCTAGTTGCCCCCCTCCCCCCTGCAGCCCCGCTGAGATCCGACCCTGCGCAGCAGAAACGACGCAAGATCGCGAGACATCGCACCCGAGCCCGAGATCCCGTGCATCGGTGAAGTTCATCGGGTCGGATCGATCTGTGAGGGCCCCAGGGGGCCCGACGAACCAGGCGAAGAGACGACCAGTGCGCAAAAAACTGCAGCGGCTGGACCTCGAAATCCGCCTCTGCTCCGCCCAGCGCTTCCTGCCGCCGCCGTCGAGGTCGCCATCACCACCGCCGTCGCCGAGGGGCCGAAGCCATTACCCGCGTGTAGCCGCCGCCGTCGCCGTGACCACCCCCATCGCCGATGGGCCACTCGGTTTTCGGGCCATACCTCGGGTCTCTGGCTGCCGTTCGGGACGATCTGGTTACCTCCAGAGCGCTGAACCCTAGATCTGGCGTCGCGAAGACATTGCAACATCGCAGAAACATCGCGACTGGAGCCCTGGATCCCATCAGTCTGCGCTATTGCTGGAGCCGGAGCGACCTGGGAGGGCCCCCTGGGGCCCGAAACCGGGCGAACACGCCCGCTGCGAAGAACCTGCGAGGCCTGGATGTCAAACATACTCCAACATTAGGTCGGGCGTGTCCTCCTACGGGCGGGTTCTGGAAGAATCATGGAAGATAGCAAAAAAAATCAAACATAGGCAAAAGGGCACGAAGCATCGTCACCAGACTATGGTTGTAGAATGTTGGAGCATTCCCCCTGTACAGGGACACGCCCAACTTCACTCCCCAGACATGCGACGCCCTGTTTTTTTCAATACGGTGTCCCTGGAAGTGCCAACCCGTTCCCCGGGACCGGTTTTGCGTCCTGAGCCGTTGATTAACGCTCCCGAAGCCCTGCGAGGGCCCCCCCAAGGCCGAAATTGGCCAACAACCTCCCGCCCTGATTCTCTTGTTACGACGCAATCATTTCTGGAGAAGAAGAGAGGAGAAGGAGGAGGAGGAGAAGGAGGAGCAGGAGGAGGAGGAGGAGGAGGAGGAGGAGGAGGAGGCGGAGGAGGCGGAGGAGGAGGAGGCGGAGGCGGAGGAGAAGCAGGAGGAGGAGGCTCACACCAGACGCCGTCGTCGTCGTCCCGCCCCGGGCGGGCAAGGGCGTGCGGCGGGCGGCTGGCCAGCAGGCCTCGTCTGCGGCGTGCGCGCCGGGCTCGGCCGGGCGCTGCCCTCGGGGCACGGCCCCGCCGCCCGCCGCCCAGCCACCCGACCGGATCTCTTCCCTGGGCCTCCCAGATGGGGGTCTTCTCTGGGCCTCCCAGGTGGGGGTTCTCCCTTTGATCCTCCTCCTCCTCCTCCTCCTCCTCCTCTTCCCTCCTCCCTCCTCCTCTTCCCCTTTCCCCCCTCCTCCTCCTCCTCCTCCTCCTCCTCCTCCTCCTCCTCCTCCTCCTCCTCCTCCTCCTCGACCCTCGATTTCCAGGAGACCGTGGTGACCCGCTCGGGCGCGAGGAAGCACGATAGAAGGGGCAGCTCATGGGGAGAAACATCGAGGCTTGAAGCCCTGACATGATTGCTTCGTAAAACGAGAATCAGGACAGGAAGTTCTTGGCCGATCTCGGCCTCGGGGGGGCCCCTCGCCGGGCCTCGGAACCGTCCGAAAACGACTCAGGATACGGTCCCGGGGAGAAAGGGTCGGGACTCCGAGGGACCCCGTGTCGAACAAATCAGGACGTCGCATGTCTGGGTTTCCGCAGCAGCGTTTCGCCAGAGAGCTCCAGTGTGGAGCTTTGCAAAAGCACACACACACAGAGAAGGGACGCGGAGCGGGCGCCAGCCCGCGCAGCCGTTTCGCCCGAGACCGCCGCTTGGCTCACTCAAGGGATCGCGCTCTCGCCTCCGTGCGGGCCACACTTTTGGCCCGGGCGGCCGCGGTCCCTGGCAACAGACACGCACGCAGGTGCACAGTATTAGGGGAACAAAAAGTGGCATAAACAGAGGCAGAGCCTAGGTAGGGAATAAGCAACGCTAAGCTAAGGGGACGTAACTGGGGGAACCGCGGGGCGGATGCCGGGGGAACCGCCCGGGGCAACTAGCACTGCCCTGCCCTTTAAGCAAAGAGAGTAAGAACACTTCTAGGCAGAGCCTCGGTAGGGAATGCACCTAACAACTCGGAGGTCCGCGAGGATTTCTCGGATGGCGGCGCTGGGGCCCCCTCCCTGGCGCGCGGAGCGCGCCAAAGGGGGGCGCCGGAGGCGCCGCCGGGGGGGCCCCAGCGCCGCCATCCGAGAGAATCCACGCGGACCTCCGAGTTTTTATGTTTATGTCACTTTTTGTTCCCCTATGACATTGCCGTGCACTCACCCCTGTCCCAACTGCTCTGACCCCTGTATCGCCTCTTTTTTCTCTGCAGAAGCCAACGATGCTGCGTTCTCTGGCCGCGCTGCAAGACCATCGCTCTCACGGGCGTGCGTAGAGCAGCTTGGACGTTGCCAATGCTCCCCGCACGAGATCCCTCGAGCAAAAGGAACAGTTAAATAGGCGAGCAACTCTGACGGATGCTAGGTGCTCTCCGCTCTGGATCAACGAATCCTCGAGAGGCACACTATCTGCGCACCGGAGGCTAAGATGGACGCGCCCTCCAATCGCGCAACAAGGCGTCGTCATGCGCCCACCTTGTGCGTCTTACTGTTGTCTTTTTTTGCCGTGCCTGGAAGGAAGGAAGCACGGACAGACAGAGGGAGGACAACGGCGTGGCCACGGCTGCCGACGAGCCCGCCATGTGAACAAAAAACAGCGCCTCCTCAAAGATTGTCTAGCAAATCGAGGCGACGGGAAAACCACATGTCCAAAACCCGGAGACCCGTCGACGTCACGTCGACCATTTGCATCCAGCGTTGAGTCTACAAGCAATGAACTCTGAGCGCGCCGCTGTTTGCCGGCGTTTCATATATACGTAGGTCCACACGGGATACTATCAAAAAGCAAGGGGTTGCCAGCGTGCCCCCCAAACACGGAGCTATTGACGCCTGGATGTGTGAGCTACGTGGCGCAGCGTATGTGGTGCCGTCCATGTGGCGCAAGCGAGGGAACCCAGAAAGAACCCCGTAGTGCACCGACTGTTCGAGGAAACTGGTGAATCTGTGCTGGCGGAGGGCGGAAAAACGGCTGGTCGAGCTGCTACTGAAGCGCCAGGTCGAGAATGACAGCGAGAAAATTCACTCGACTGCTGCTGAGACGTCAAACTAGCATTCAAGCTCACCGCACGTCCAGCTGGTAGATCGCGTAAGCCGTCATCCACTTATTCCTGCTGCACGACGAGGTGAGCTTGCAGGCTCCGGTGGCGCTCGCGAAGCTGAAGTACGCGCAGCCCGACTGAGCTGAGCAGGCGGCTCCGCACGCCTGAAGGTCCGCCACGGTGGGAAATGACAACGGCGTCCCTTTGCACATCCCAGTCGAGTGCGTCTGCGTGAAGGACACAGGGGTGGGCGCAGGCGTCGGGACCCCGGGCGCGAACGTGGGCGCCAGGGTCAATGCCAAGTGGTATATCGTGAAGTCCGTGTCGAACGAGTTGATGCTGCCACAGGTGTCACTCAGCTTGCACTCTGTCGAAGAATGGCTGAAGAACTGGCAACCGATCGACTGCGCGCACAAACTGCCGCACCCATCGACGGTCAATCCTGAGCTGTCCGTCGTCCCGGTGCCCTTGCACTTTCCTGTATCGTAGATCCCATACGTCACAGGGGTGGGCGCAGGTGTCGGGACCCCGGGCGCGAACGTGGGCGCCAGGGTCAATGCCAAGTGGTATATCGTGAAGTCCGTGTCGAACGAGTTGATGCTGCCACATGTGTCACTCAACTTGCACTCTGTCGAAGAATGGCTGAAGAACTGGCAACCGATCGACTGCGCGCACAAACTGCCGCACCCATCGACGGTCAATCCTGAGCTGTCCGTCGTCCCGGTGCCCTTGCACTTTCCTGTATCGTAGATCCCATACGTCACAGGGGTGGGCGCAGGTGTCGGGACCCCGGGCGCGAACGTGGGCGCCAGGGTCAATGCCAAGTGGTATATCGTGAAGTCCGTGTCGAACGAGTTGATGCTGCCACAGGTGTCACTCAGCTTGCACTCTGTCGAAGAATGGCTGAAGAACTGGCAACCGATCGACTGCGCGCACAAACTGCCGCACCCATCGACGGTCAATCCTGAGCTGTCCGTCGTCCCGGTGCCCTTGCACTTTCCTGTATCGTAGATCCCATACGTCACAGGGGTGGGCGCAGGTGTCGGGACCCCGGGCGCGAACGTGGGCGCCAGGGTCAATGCCAAGTGGTATATCGTGAAGTCCGTGTCGAACGAGTTGATGCTGCCACAGGTGTCACTCAGCTTGCACTCTGTCGAAGAATGGCTGAAGAACTGGCAACCGATCGACTGCGCGCACAAACTGCCGCACCCATCGACGGTCAATCCTGAGCTGTCCGTCGTCCCGGTGCCCTTGCACTTTCCTGTATCGTAGATCCCATACGTCACAGGGGTGGGCGCAGGTGTCGGGACCCCGGGCGCGAACGTGGGCGCCAGGGTCAATGCCAAGTGGTATATCGTGAAGTCCGTGTCGAACGAGTGATGCTGCCACAGGTGTCACTCAGCTTGCACTCTGTCGAAGAATGGCTGAAGAACTGGCACCCGATCGACTGCGCGCACAAACTGCCGCACCCATCGACGGTCAATCCTGAGCTGTCCGTCGTCCCGGTGCCCTTGCACTTTCCTGTATCGTAGATCCCATACGTCACAGGGGTGGGCGCAGGTGTCGGGACCCCGGGCGCGAACGTGGGTGCCAGGGTCAAATACAGCTGGTAGACTGTGAAGGGCGATAGGAATGTATTAACGCTGTCACAGTCAGCACTCACCTTGCACTCCGTCGAAGAATGGCTGAAGAACTGGCAACCATTCACCTGAGCACACAAGCTGGCACAATCATCGACGGTCAATCCGGAAAAATCTGTCGTCCCGGTGCCCTTGCACTTTCCGGTGCCGTATATGCCCCACGTCAGTGGAGTTGGTGACGCAGTTGGAGCTGGGGTCGCGCCAAGCTGGTACACGCTGTAGCTGGTGTCTAAGCCCACGCTGTCACAGTCTTCAGACAGCTTACACCCACCAGAATCAACAGAGTAGCTCAAGAAGAGGCAATTCAGTGTTGCGTCGCAAAGAATGGCACATTCCTCGAGGCTCCCAGCCGTGGTGATGGTCCCAGCCCCCTGGCACTTTCCTGTGCTGTAGACCATGGCGTAAACAGGTGTTGGCGTCGGCGCTGGCGTTGGTGCTGAAGTCGGAGGCTGTGCTGGCGTTGGCGAGCTGGTCGGCGCGATGGTCGGCGAGCTGGTCGGCGCGAAGGTCGGCGAGCTGGTCTGTACGGGACCTGGCGAGCTGGTCGGCGCGGGGGTCGGCGAGCTGGTCGGCGCGGGGCTCGGCGCGGTGGTCGGCGCGGGACTCGGCGCAGGGGTCGGCGAGCTGGTCGGCGCTGTGGTCGGCGCGGGACTCGGCGCGGGGCTCGGCGAGCTGGTGGGCGCTGGTGTTGGCGCGGCTGTCACGGAGGCTGGGGTGGGTGGTGGAGCCGGCGCGCAGAAGCTGGACAGCCGACGCTGCGGGGAGTCGGCGCATGTTCCGTGGTAGCAGTACTGGTTGATGTCGCACTCGTTCTCGAAAGGGCTGGTGGACGCATCGCACTGGCACGGCACCCGGATCTTGGAGGTGGGGCTCTCGCGGCATGGGCAAATCTTGCCACTGCCGTGGCACGGTAGAGTGCATGTGATGTAGCCCTCACCGGGGTCCCTGTACACCAAATTAGCTTCAGAGACCTCGGAAGGGTATAGCCGGCAACTGCCGGTCCCTTCGACGAAGACGAACATGTGGCAACCAGGGTCTGCCTTGCACGTATTGTAGCAAGTGCCCCGGGTGTGCCCATTATCTGCGCTGCGCTCCAGTGCAGGGACGCCTGGTGCGACTGCGTCAGCGTTCTCGTCGCAATCGGCGTCGAGGAAATCTAAGCCAGCAGCGTAGGCATCACATATGTAAGTGTCGTAGCCTGGCACCACCGCCAAGTCTTCCGCTAAATTCTTAATTGACCACAACTCGCAGAAACCCGTGTCCGCCCTGTGAACAAAAGAATGGCACTGCCACCAATTCTGGCACTCATGATTGCACTGAGTGAGAGTTTTTCCCGTGAGGAACACTGCTACGTCTGCGTGGCCGAGGAAACCACGGTCGGCGAACCCCACGCACCCGCGGAAGTTGGCGGCTGTCGAGCGAGGTATGAGTTGCGCTGGAGAATCGGTCGTCGCATCACCTGAGATGCTCACCTCTGTAGGGAGCTTGCAGTCGCCAGCGTTGCACTTGCCGGCGTAGCCGCTCTCCGTGCAAGGCGTTCCATCCGGGACGTTGTTGATGGGCTCGCCGTTCAGCTCCCAGCTGCGGAGACTGATGCACGTGCCGTCTCCGGCCTGGGTGCACTTGATCTTGCAGCCGTCCGCCTCGAGCCCGCAGAAGCCTTCGAACATGCCGCTGTATGCGCAGATGTGGTTGGTGACACACGCGCCCTGGTTGCAGTAGCCGCGTACTTCTGCCAGCGTGCACTCGGTGCCGACGTCTTCGAACATGCCCCGCTCGTTGCAGCAGCCGCCGTGGCCGATGGCGTCAGGCGAGCACTGCATCGGCTCCGCGGGAGCACCAATTCGCGCGTCCAGCTGGCAGCTGCAGCACCCGTCGCAAGCCTGCGACCTGTCGCTGCACTCGCAGCCCTCGCCTGGCTCCGTGACGCCGTTGCCGCAGACGGCCTCGAAAGTCGAGAAGCCTGAACAGGTGTTGACTTGGCTGGTGAGCTGAGTGCAGATGTCAGAAAAGCGGAGGTCGTTGAACCGATAGACGCCGTTGACCGTCCCATCGCCATAATCCATGATGCCACCTGTAGTTCCTGTGCCCTGCTCGAACGAGTGTTGGGCTCCGAAGTTGTGTCCCATCTCATGTGCGAATATATGCCAAGTGGGATTTGTGTAAGGGAGGTGGCTTATCCAATTGGCTCCTACGTTGTATCCCCAATCGTAGCACAATACCCCGATGTACGCAAGGCCGATGAGGCCACTTCCACCGTTATACGCCTGCTGATAGCAATCGTCGAAAATATGCCACACGCCCATGGTGGTGTCCGGAGCTGTAGGCTCCCATAAAACCATCTGCCACAACTGGGCATTGAGGTCCATCGGACACGAGGGGCCTTGGTCCCAGCCGGGAGCGCCGTCGTGAGTCTTCTGAATGTAGAGGCTCCCCAACTGCAAATTGATGTTGAGCTGGGGCTCGTACGCCATATTCGCATTTTCGACCATAGCGTGGATCCAATCCTCTGCCTCTAGGTCGGTCTGGAAATTCTCGTTTATCCAAACGTTGGACGTGATGACCGCGCCGAACTTGAAGGTGCGCATGGTCTCCTCTCCAGGATAGCAGCCAGTCCACTGGTCGATCGCGCTGGGATTCAGGATCGACAAACGCCTGTCCACGGCGGGCTCCTTCGATGAGCCGTTGGGGCGCAGACTGCCCACCCCTGTCTCGGCGGACAGCTTGGCGTCGAAACGCCTCACCTCCAGAGTGCTGCTGCCGTGCCGGTGCCGAAGGTCAAACGTCCTGGATCCAACCCACACGGTGCCCGTAAAACTCTGCCCCACCGTGGTCAACACTGCGTCTCGGCCAGGGCTCCTGAAGACGCCAGCCTGGTTGAGAGCACGCTCCGTCTTTCCGTCCGTGCCGTGCACGACGACTCTGCCACCTGTCGGGGAGACGTAAGACTCGGGTACGGGGGACTCGGGTTGGCCTGACGGGGCCGTCAAAAAAAATGGCGAGGCTCAATCTAAATTTGACGCGAGTCCCCGCTGCAAACATCCCACCCACGAAAACCGGACCGTCGTCAAAAAACGTCGGTAAACCCGAGTTCTGGCTTACTCGAGTCTTACCCAGACATGCGACGTCCTGGCTTTTTCAATGCGAGGTCCATGGAAGTCTCGACCCTCTCCCCGGGACAAGTTTTTCATCCTGAATCGATTTTTGACGGTCCCGAGGCCCGGCGAGGGCCCCCCGAGGCCGAAATTGGCCAAGAACCTTCCGGCTGACTCGAGTCTCACGTTTCCCCGAACCTGAGGGCGCCGCGGTCTTGCGGTACAACTTGTACCTGAAGGTCATGTTGTGCGACCGGAAGCGGAGCACCTACCGACCGCCCCGGCATGCCTATAGGCCTACCACGAAATCTTCTTAGAACCCCAAACATGTTCTCAGAACAAGAACAGTGCTCTTAGAGCAGAAACCCGATGCGCCCAAACAAGACAGCCCCAGCCAGAAATGCTCTCAGAACGCTTCGTGCAAACCACACAAGGTTCTTAGAATCGGGAGCGGCCAAGAGGGGGGTGTCCAAGAGGGGGGGGTGCAAATCATGACCGGCGGCATGTGCGCGGCCCAGCGGGGGGGCCAGGGACGTAATGAAATAAGCAGAGGCGCCATGAAATCTGGGGAAATATCATGGCCCACGCCATGACATCCACCCCCCCCCTAGTCATCACCCCCCTCTTTGCCGCCCCCGACATAAACCCGACGTGCCAAAACAAGACAGCCCAAGCCAGAACTGCTCTCAGAACGCTCCGTGCAAACCACACGAGGTTCTTAGAACATCCTTCGGTGGGCCTCTCCTCCTCCTCCTCCTCCTCCTCCTCCTCATATCCTTCTCCTCCTCCTCCTCCCCCTCCTCCTCCTCCTCCTTCCCCTTCTCCTCCTCCTCCTTCTCCAACTCCTCCTCCCCCTCCTCCTCCTCCTCCTCCTCCTCCTCGTCGTCGTCCTCCTCCTCCTCCTCCAGTCGAGCCGGGACGCTTCACCACTGGCTGGAGCACCAGCACGCTGCCCGACGGCCTGTACCCCTCGGTCGGGCCGCCGAGGGCCGCGGCCTCCAGGAGCACGTCCCGCCCGGCCTCGTCCGCGAGGCTGAAGTCCGTGGCGACCTCGTAGCCCTGCGAGTGCTGCTCGAGCTTGGGCTCGTCGTCTACGCGTTTGCCTCGGTGCATGTTGCTCCCATCGTATTTTTTACAGGACCACGTCGCAGAAATCATGTCGAGCACCCGGATAAGTGCCGAGACTTCCCCAGCAATGCAGGGCAATGGCGAACAGAAAACATTTCGATATAGGTTTTAGATAGGTTCAAAAGTAGGTTCGGGAGATAGGTTCGCAAGCATAGTAGGTCCCAGGAAGAAGGTGCAACGCGCGGGGAAAACGTGTCATCGGGCAGATAGCCTCCCGTTACTGGGTTTGCCAAAGCGCGTCGGCGCAAATGCCGCGGGCAGCTAAGTTGGCGAAGCGAATTCGCCAAACTAGCCCTGGCGAGTGCACCCGGGGACGTTCCCTGGCCGCGGTAACCTCGCCAAGAAGGTTTGCAATGAAAAACGGCGTCAGGGCTGCATTTCAGGCAGGGGCCGCGACACGTTTCGCGCGATGCACCCTCGGGCACTAAACATAGAAAATTAACGAGAGCGGCTGCGGAGAAGACCTCCGAAAACACGACCCGCCAGAAAAGCAGTCACGACGATGGGCGACCCAAAAATCAATTGGGGCAGCCCCGGCAACTGGCACGGCGAACAACGCAACTCAAGGAATCCCGGACAAGCCGGGCCGCCACCAACAATCACCCCGTACCAATACCGTGCCCCGGCGGGGTTCGGACACGCCATGGCTCCTCCTCATTATCACGGCCGCCCCGCCCAAGGTCATTCTGCCCTCCCCAAAGCCACTCGTTATCAATCACATCATGCTTCCCATCATCGCCCCCCTTGCCTCACCATCCTCCCCCTCGTCAGCCGCAGCATCCACGTTCTCATCCTCCTGCCCCCGATCCTCCCCGCCCTCCCCGCCCCCCCCTCCTCCTCCTCCTCCTCCTCCTCCCCCCCCTCCTCCTCCTCCCCCTCATATTCCCCATCTTGTTCCTACCTTTTCCCCCTCATCCCCCCTTCATCCGCCCCTCATCCTCCGCCCGATCCTCCGGGTCCTCTTGGTCCTCCTCCTCCTACTCCTCTCTCCTGTTCCTCCTTCCTCCTGGCCCTCCGTTTCCTCGACCTGGCTCTCCTCCTCCTCCTCCTCTTCTTCCTCCTCCACATCCTCCTCCCGGCTCTCCTCATCCACCTCCTCCTCCTCCTCCTCTCCCATTCCTCTTCCTCCTCCTCCTCCTCCCCCACATTCTCCTCCACCTCCTCCTCCTCCTACCTTCAATCCCTGACCTTCCATGCTTCCGAAAACAGTTTGAAGTAGGTTTGAAATAGGTTTGAAGTAGGTTTGAAGTAGGTTCGAAGTAGGTTTGAAGTAGGTTTGAAGTAGGTTTGAAGTAGGTTTGAAGTAGGTTTGAAGTAGGTTTGAAGTAGGTTTGAAACCTACTTTGAGGCCTCCGAAACCTACTTTGAGGCTCCTAAAACCTATTTTGAAGCCTCCGAAACCTACTTTGCGCTACCGAAAACCTACTTTTGGAATCCGGAAACCTTCTTTGGAACCTACTTTGCAAAAACAAATTCTGCAAACCTACTTTCCGACCTACTTTGGGGGCGCGGTTCCTTGAAACATCAGCACACGCTTGCCCGAGCCTTTCCCAGAAGTCGCCCCCGGGGGCGGCGCGCCAAAAAAGGAATCTGCGAAGTACCCCCAGAAGGTGAGCAAACCCAAAACACTTGTAGGTTGCCCCCGACAGGCGGGAGCCCCCCAAAGGGGGCGGTCTCCCCCCCCCCCCGAGGGTCGAGGATCGAGCGCGATTTCGCTGTCGGGCGACAAGCGAACGTACCGCGACAGGACAGGGCCTTTTGGCAGCCCCCCCGCTGGCGGGCAGGGGGCCGCCGCCTGGCGCCCTAGGTTCTTCAGAAACCAAACCTGATGCGGCCGCCCCCCGCCCCCCGGGGCCCCTCCGGGCCCGGCCCGACGGAGGCGCCACTCCCCTTCCGTTTCTCTTTCCTCCTCCCACCTCTCTCCACCTCCTCTCCTCTTCCACGCGCCCTCATTATTCCAGCCTCCCTCCACCTCCTCCCCCCGGAAACGCCACCTCCCCCCTACCCGCCTTCTGGAGCCCCCCACCCTCCCGTTTCTGACCTTCTTAACCTTCCTGGTCCTCCCTCTCGCCCCCCCCCCCTCCCCCTTGCTCGGGCCCGCGGCCCTCGCCCCGCCCTCCATGCCCCACTTCCCGCTGTGGTCAGACCAAGGGGGAAACGCAATGCCCCCAGATCTCAGGACGGAGGTGGTTTAGAGCGCTTCCTGTTCCAACAACCCCCAGTCTTCCCTTCGGGGATGGATGCGCCCCTCCCCCCCCCTCCTTCCGGGGCCTGCAATGGGGGGCGGCGGATCGGTGGAGCGCCCGGGACGGTCAAAGATAGAGCCGGCATGACCTCGCAGAATGCAACGCGGTCTCACAGATGGTTCAAGATAGCCCAAGATGGATCAACATTGTTTCCCGCATGCTCCAAGAAACCCAAATACCGCTCCGAGACCGCCCCAAGCGGCCGCGGAGCCACCCAATAACACCCCCGAGAAGCCGAAATCTTTCCAAATCGTACGAGACACGAATGAATTGGGCCTTTTGGTCCATGCGCTTCCGAAGACTTTGGAAGCCTGAAGATAAGCCCCGAAGGAGTCCAGAAGAACCCAAGACAGCGCACTTCACGAATTACTCGGCTGGCTTGCTAGCAGAAGCCGCGCCTTGCCGGCGGCATTCCAGCATTTCCCCGAGAAGCTTGTTTGGAAAATATCATTACTGACCCGATCCCGACAAGTTACTTTTGATATTGTGTTCCCGACAACCTTTCCTGGAAAGCTACTTTTGCACATGAATGTCGCATTCCTTTCCCCTGAAAGTTTCTCGCGGCAATCGGTTTCGCCATCCTTTCCCTTCGAGTTACCTGCGCCGACCACTGTTGCCAGGCGCGCTGCAGACCTACTTCGCCGACCTACTTCAGGAGCTACTCTAAACCTACTTCATTTGTTTTGCGCCTCAAGCAAGCCCTGCATTCAAAGGGAAGTCTCGGGATAAGTGTCGAAAGAGTGTCGACACGGTGTCGAAACAATGTCTCCCAGGGCCCAGCACGTGAAAACCCTCGAGTTTCGGTACTTTTTTTCTGGTGCTCGGATTCTTTCTGATGATCAAGGCTAAAGTAGGTACGAACATCATAAGCCTTGGTTCAGATCCGCCGTGTTGATGCCAAGCTCTGTGTACTCGGACTGGTTCACCAACTTGGCGCCGTGGTGCTGCGCGAACGCCACGTCGGCGGCCAATACCATCAAGGCCCATACCATCGCCCCTCCCCTCCGGAGTGGTACCGCTTGCTCAGATGGCGGCATGGCGGTAAGTATAGGTCAGATTCTGGTGCTTGAGCCAGAAGTGCCTTGAACCCAAATGGCTATGGAACCCCTGTATCGCCTCTTCACCCTTGCTGCTATTAGGATGCTTGGAAAGTGTAGGATCCAACCCGGGTGTTTTTCCATCGATGTCGCCCTCTGGGTCCCGTTCTCGGGCCCTGGGACGATCAGAAACGGATCCGTGGCGAAACACTACCCCGTCGGGACCTCTGGGGCCGCGGATAAAACAGAAACATAGTCGGACGTGAAATTCCATAGGCCTTACTCCATCATCCCTCGTATATCCATCCCCAATCTCCCCTCAATTTTCCATCCATTCGTCTTCCTCCCTCCCTTCCTCCCTCCCTCCCTCCCTCCATCCATCCATCATCTATCCGTCCTTCTTCCGTTCGTCCCGTCTCATTGACCATCCATCCTTCTCCGTCCTCTCCCTCCTTCACGCCAGTTGGCGTACACCTGACTATGGTGTCTGCGAGCGGTTCCTCAATGGCGAAGGCAAAAAGAGACTGCTCTGCGTTCCCGCAGGCTCTGGACACGGGTGGCGCTGCAACTGGGAACCATCCCATCCTTCTCCCCCCCCTCTTCTCCCATCCTCCATCCTTCGCTTTCGTCCTCCTCCATCGGCTTCTCCACTGGGGCCGTGTGGGCAGCACCTCCATCGCCCTCCATCTGTTGGCAGTTTTGAATGGGCCCCAGGACACACACACAAATAAATACACACACAAATAAAGAAATTCCTACTATTTTCCCATATTTCCTGGGTTTTTGTCTTCCCCCCCACTTCCCATATTTTCCCATATTTTCTGGGAATCGACGATTGATTGTGTCTGTGTGTTTTTTCCCCTCCTGAATATCGACGCATTGCGATCGCAACAGCGAGGAGCTACGGCAGCAACCACGAAAAGGACCCCCTCCGCCACTCCGTGCAGCAGCTGCCGCCGCCGTGGGGCTCCAGCCCCACACGTGCGACGTCCAGATTTCTCCCACGCGGGGTCCCGTTTTTGCTTCCTCCTCCTCCTCCTCCTCCTACTCCTCCTCCTTCTCCTCCTCCTCCTCCTGCTCCTCCTCCTCCTCCTCCTCCTCCCTTCTTCCCCAGAGGGTCTTCCTGGGGAGTCCCGACCCTCTCCCTATAGGACAGGTTTTTCGCCCCGAGCCGTTTGCTAACGGTCCCGAGGCCCAGAGGAGAGCCCCCCGAGGCCGAAGATGGCCAGCGACCTGGCGTGATGGTGTTTGTTACGACGCGACCCTGTCTGGGGAAGGAGAGAGGAGGAGGATGAGGAGGAGGAGGAGGAGGAGGAGGAGGAGGAGGAGGAGGAGGAGGCGGATGGGGAGGAGGCGGGGACGACGGCGGCGGCGATGGCGCCGGGCGGGTGCCCCGCCTCGGTCGACAGGTCGAACAGCGCCGGCGACGAGGTCGTCGGGCTGGGGCTGCTGGAGGCCTCGGCCCGCGCGGCAGGCTCCAGGGAGATCGCCGCCGGCCGGCCTCCAAGGCCTCCCGGAAGCCCAGTGGGGGGCCTCTGTGGACCGCCAGGGACCTCTGGGGACCTCCGGAAGTCGTCGAGGTCGTCGTCGTCGTCGTGGAGGAGCTGGAGGCGGAGGAGGAGGCGGAGGAAGAGGCGGAGAAGGAGGAGGAGGTGAAGGAGGAGGAGGAGGGGGAGGAGGAGCTTACGAGGAGGATTCCAACATAAATAATCGCTACAGTACTGTCAGGCACACAGGCGGCCACACGCCTGTCATGCTATGACGATGCCCCTGGTTTGTATTCGGGTGCCTGTGGTGCTCGCGCACTAGTCCTGCGTGCTGCCCGTCCTCGTGGGCAGGCCCTGGGAACGAGTGTGAGGACCACGTGCCAGCCGTGCACGCGAAGTTCGCCGGCCCAGACGTGCTGCAAGATCCCTTGTTTGGGCTGTGCGCGCCTGGATGATGCACGGAGGCCTGCGCCCGCCCCCCTACTGCTTTTCCTCTGCCCTCGCAGGCTACGCCGCACGAGGGAGCCATGCGCGAGGAACGACCGAGCGAGGGGGAGCGCCAGTGGCTCAGGGGAGCGGGAGGGAAGAGGAGGAAGGACGAGGGGGGAGGGGGGGGCAGAATGGCAAGGAGGGAGGCGGCTCCGAGGAACCCACCGGCGCTGCAGTCGCACCGTGCAGCTCGAGACGCCGCAGCGCGTGTGCGCAGGCCGGCGCGCAGCCCCGCGGGCCCCTCGTCACGCCAGCCCCGCAGCGCCGAGCACGAGGTGGGCACCCGCGGCGGGCGCCCGAGGCCTGCGGGCCGCGCGCGCGGGCCGCCCACGCCACAGCTCGGGCCACTGCCGCAGCCCGTACCCGAGCACGGCCCGCGTCGCGGCGCGGCGCGGCCCGGGGGGCACGCCGGCCGCGCCGCGCGGGGCCGCCGGGCAGCTGCCGCGGCGGCCGCCGCGCGCGGCCGCGCCCGCGCACGCTGCGAGGAGGGGCGCCAGCACCGCCGAGCAGCGCCGGCGAGGCCGCCCGAGCGGGGCGGAGCCGCCGCCCGCGCGGCGCCGGCGCGCGCCGCCGCGGGCGCGCAGGGCCGCCTCGCCGCCGCCCTGGCCCGCGGAGGCGTCGGCGACGGCGCCGTCCGCCGCGCCGCGGTCGGCGGCGGGGGCGGCCATGGCCGCGGTCAGGCGGCGGTGCACCGCCTCCATCGAGGACTCCTCACGGCCCGGAAACGGATATGGACCAGAAAACGAATGCCACTACCCCACCTACGGCTCCACGAGGCCTAGCGTATATTAGAGAGTCTGGCGTGTGTTTTCGCGTGGTATGCGCTACCGCCCCCGATGGGCCGCAGCGCAACATGGCGGGCCGTAGACGGGGTGGTGTCGATCGTGTTTCGGTCTTCACATCCACGCCCTCGCGGTCTGGATTCCGGGGCGCGATCCCGCGGGTACGCGGTCGCACGGATACGTTTCCGCGCGGGCCGTCCGCGAGAGCATCTCTCGAAATTATCCGTGGATTCGCGGCCCATGAGTCGGCCGGCGAGGCCATGGATGCGGACATGTCTTTCGCCCTCGAACTCCAGCGACGCGTAGCTGCCGTCGGCGTCCTGCTTTGTAAAGCGTCGGGCTGCGCACAAGCGGCCCCCCAGGTAGCCCCGGCTGGCCTCAACAGGTCCCCCAAGTAGCCTGGAGCGGTCTCAATCAACACCCCAGCGGCGCCACGTTGTGGAGACCGTCCCAGACTACTCGAGAGGGCTGCTGAGGCCAACCAGGTCTATCTAGGGGGCCATCTGTGCGCAACCCGGCGCCTTATCAGTCCTGCTGCTTCCACACCATCTCGTTGATGCCGCCGGGCGTCTGCTCCCCGATCAGCCGCTCCAGCGTGTCAGGCTGGAGCGCGGCGCTGTCCGACGCCATAGTGGCGAACAGTGCGCCGACGTACTCCGCGGCACGGCTCTCGGGCACCCCGCGCGACGCGAGCCAGTGCTGCACGGTGAGCTGACGCTTGTCCGCCACCGTGCCTGCTCGGGGTGCGCGAGTTAGAACGCTCCTCTGTTGCCAAGTGAAATTTCGACATGTTTTCTGGGGCCAACCTCCCTCCTACGCTTCCCCGATAAGGGCAGCTCTCCTGGACATCGTTCCTGGATGGGCTGGTGGCGATACGTGACGCGTTATGAGAATTCAGACTCCTCCCTGCTAGGTTGTTGCATAGGCATGGGCACGGTGCTGGGGCTTGCCGCAGGCCGCTGGATAGAAATCCCCCATCAGCGCGGTGACGACCTGCATGTGCTTGAACTCCTGCTCCTGGACACCCGCCGCTCTCATTGTGAGGAGGAGGAGGCGGCGGAGGAGGAGGAGGCGGCGGAGGAGGAGGAGGAGGCGGCGGAGGAGGAGGAGGAGGAGGAGGAGGGGGAGGAGGAGGAGGAGGAGGAGGAGGAGCAGGAGGAGGAGGAGGAGGAGGGGGAGGAGGAGGAGGAGCAGGAGGAGGAGGAGGAGGAGGAGGAGGAGGTATGTTTTTTCCGGCGCGTCATCCCGCGGAGGCCCCGGCGCACCTTCCCCGGGGCTCCGCAGCCCGCCCCAGAGCCGTTCCTGCTGGCCCCCAAGGCCCGCGCGGCGGCCCCCAGAGGCCGACCTCCCGGGGAGAGCGCCCGCGGATCACACCGTCGTCGGAGCCCTGGGCGCTCCGTCTCCACCGGCACGCAGGAGCCCACCGCCGCGAACAGCGCCTCCGCGAAGGGCCTCTCCGGGCGACCCGCAAGGGGGGTCCGGCCGAGAGGGGCGGGTGCAAGAGAGCTCGGGCAATTGGATCGCAAGAATACTGCGCAGGGGAGGCGCGAACAGCGCCTCCGCGAAGGGCCTCTCCGGGCGACCCGCAAGCTGGCCATCGCTCGGGCGTCCATGTCCTGTGCTTTTTTCGGTTTTCGTGCGTGTTTTTTTCGCCAGATGGTCGAGGATGCTCCTCGAAGGTCCTCGCAGAGAAAAAAAGGCACACGTCCGAGCGATGCCAAGAAAGGGGGTCCAGCTGAGAGGGGCGGGTGCAAGAGAGCTCGGGTAATTGGATCGCAGGTGTACTGCGCAGGACAATTCCGTTGAGTTGCGTTGCCAGTGATGCGCTGCACGCGAACATCCAGCAAGACACTCGCGCCCCAGGGTGCGTCGCACGCCCCACAGGTAGTGCACGCCCCAAGTGTACTGCACCAAACCTAATGCACCACCCCCTTGTCGCTGGACCCCCTCTTGGGTCAACCCGAGCCTCGCCGGCACGAGCAGCGTGGTCCCACGGCGCCCGGCGACCGCGGGCAGAGGCATGCCTCGGGGGACGCCATCTAGACACCTATACTTAGGTCGGGCATGTTCTCCTACGGGCGGATCTTGAAGGGCAAATCAAAAATAGGCCAAGAATAGTCAGAGAGCTAGCCAGAAATCAATCAACAGATCGTCCCCGTCCTGTTTTGTGACCGTGTTTGAATATTCTCCTCCTGCAGAGGGGCGTGCCCGACTTCACCCTGTACGTGCCCGATCTCCCGGCCACACCCTGGGCCCAGGCTCGGTGCATCCGCCCTCCCGTCCTGGGGCCGGCAGGCATACACACCGATCCTTGGGCCCAGGTTCGACCCGGCCAGGGTCGGTGCAGGTACACCGTTGGTGTTCGGTCGGGCCTGTACCCGTACCTGGGGATTTCTGGACGACACATTGTCAAACATGCTAAGACATATGCGCAAACGGTGACGCAATAGTAGAACAAACGTCCCCCGACCATGTGTTGACGATTTTTGGATCTTCCCGGTAAGATTCCCTCTTCAGACGGACGGGCCAGACTCAACATTGGTGCTAGGTCGGGCCTGTCCCCCTACAGGGGGATTTTGAGCGACAGATAAAAAAATAACTCCAAAAATACACCCCAACCCTCAAAATTAATCAAAGCATCGTCCCCCAAGTATTTTTTGACTTTTTTTTTGAAGAGTCCCCGTGCCAGAGGCACGGGCCCGACCTCACATTCGTGCCCTCTGGCTGCCGACGGCGCAGTCCGCCGCGGGTGACGCCAGCTCGCCCAGGCGCGCCAGCCCCAGCGTGGACACCAGGCTCAGCACCTGCTGTCCTGGAGGTCAGACAGGGGTGTGGCGTACATTGGCGGCGTGCACAAGGGGGTAGGGGGAGGGGGTATTTTGCCAATCGTGGAGATGGCGGTGCTATCTGCGATAAACAGCATCGACGGATTCCCCGATTCACATGAGAAATCAGCACCACGCCCCTCTACACCATGCCCCTTTCCTGCCTCCGGAGCTGTCCGGGGCGGAACGACAGGGCGCGCAGGACCTCCTCGGCCTGCGGAGGCAGCACCGAGAGCGACGGAAGAAGAAAGGCCGGCAGAGAGCGCAGAGAAACTTCCGGGGCTCCGCGCGGACTCCTTGGAGATCGTCGCTGGGCCGCCTTCTCAGGAGGCCGCCAACTGTCCACCTGCACAGATCCTGGTCATACGCCCCCTGGGCCCAGGATCGGTGTACACGCCCTCCTGGCGTCGATGTGTGTGTATATATATATATATACACACACACCGATGCTGGGTCCAGGATCGGCGGTTCGGCCTGGCCACGATAGTTGGTGCCCTCCGAGCCCTGGCGTGCGAAGCGCGCCGAGTGCGGCGCAAGAGGCGCCGCCGGGCTGACCTGGCGCCGACCCCAAGAAGTCCGCGCGGACCTCGGAAGGCTCCTGCCTGTGCAAGCTTTTCCTCTTCGAGAGCACCACGCAGCTGGCCGCGTCCACGACCTCCTGTCGGTGCTTGTCAAGAGTGTCGGGGGATGCTACCCCAGAGATGCGACGCCCAGATTTTTTCAGGAGGGGGTCCCTGGAAGTCCCGACCCTTACCCCGGGACCGGTTTTTTTATCCTCAGTCGTTTTTTGACGGTCCCGAGGCCCGGCGAGGGCCCCCTAAGGCCGAACTTGGCCAAAAACTCGCCGTCCTGATTTTCATAAACGACGCGATCATGTCTGGGGCAGGTGCCCCCGGCCCAGGGTGCCCCCCAGCTCCTCGCCCAATTTTGAAGCCCCTTGGGCCCTCGTGGGCCTCGCGAGGGGTGCTCTGGAGGCCGAGGGCCCCCCCCCCCCCCCCTCGAGATCCTGGGGGCGCCTCGGGCCAGGGGCGCTTCCAGCAACACCCGAGGGTGGGGCCTCCAGGGACGGGGCCCCGAGGGGACGGCCAGCAGAGGATCCCAGGCTGAGCCTTCCTTGCCACCGGACATCCCACGCCCTGCAACTTGCAACAGACAGACACCAGATACGTGCGGGCGCTCTCGGGAACCCTGAACCCCAAAACGTTTTCATCTCTTGGGGGCGCATCTTTTACTTCCGCCGCCTTCCGCCGGCGTCCGCCGGCGAAGGCGGCCTGGTTTTACTTCCGCCGACCTTCCGCCGCCTTCCGCCGCGGAAAGATGACAACTACTTCGATCCTCGAAGGCGAGGCCACTTTGGGAACGCCCCATTTGTTTCGCCGTGCTTGGCATACATGGGGCCCTCGCCAGGCCCAGGGACCGTCGAACAACGGCTCAGGAGGAAAGGCCGGCCCCGGGGAAGAAGGGTCAGGACTTCCAGGGGCCCCGTATCGAAAACATCAGGACGCCAGATGTCTGGGCCCGAGGTCACTCGCCCTCCAGGCCCCGTCCCTCGGGGCCCCATTCCCTGAGATCCGACGTTGCGTTAGGTCGGGCATGTCCCCCTACAGGGGGATTTTGGACGAAAAAATACTCATGCAAAACAATGAATCAAAAATGGCAAAACAAAGATTCAAAAAATCGTCCCCAGACTATCTTTAAAACTATTTTTGAATATTCCTCCTGTAGAGGGACGTGCCCGACTTAAACGTTGCGGACAACTGCAACACCGCGGAGACTCACGACCGCGGCCCATGACCCCGTCTTTCTGCGGCATGTCTCGAGCGCGAAACGATTTGTGCTGGCCACACGGCCCGACCCTGGGCGAAAACGGCCCATGCAAAAATGCGGCGCGGGGTCCAGGGTTCGAACCGCCAACCCCTGCGGCATTCTGCAAGGCCAGATCGATCTGTGAGGGCCCCACGGCCCGAACTCGGGCGAGAATGGCTCGGGTGGAAGAACTGCACCGCCTGGATCCCAAAACTTGAGCCGCTGACTCCCTGGGAAAATCCGATGGTACGAGCACCGCTGCTCCCCGGACCTCTTCCTGAGTGCGCTCCGACCAGAAATTCAAGGCGAATCCAGCCGTGGCGACGAGGGCCGTCCTTCCAGGAGGAGGCCCCAAACGGGCGAAAACGAGGGGCCCCCAGAGACTCGATGTCTCGTTCTTGTTCCACATGGGGTCCCCGAAAGTCTCGACCCTCTGCCCAAGCAAGTTTTTGCCCCGAGCCGTCTTCTGGGCACCTGGAGGCCGAAACCTACAAAACACCGATGTCTCGTTGTCTATTTCGGGGGCGCCCAGGAGGGGGACTCGCAAACCATGGCCCGAGGTATGTGCGGGGGCGAGGGGTGGGGGGGGCCAGCGGGGAGACTGCTGGTCATCATTTCAGGTAGCGATCATTACCCAGGGGGGTGAAGAAGGTTGGGGCCCTGAGTGACTGTAACGCCCGGGCCGTGTGGGGCTCGTCGGGGCGGGGCCTGGGCCGCCCCCGACGTTTTTCTATACTGTCGACCCGCAGCATAAGGATGCGCGGCAAGGATGCCAGGGCCTCGGAAGGCCATGCCATCGCCTTTGCCAGCGGGGCGCGGCCAGCGAAAGTCGCTGAGGATGGGCCGAGGAGGCTAGGATGCAAGGGTGCCCTTGGGAAGGTTGCCCATTCTTCCAGGGGAAGAACAGAACACATAAGCATAAACTTTCGACGGTCCGCGCGGATTTCTAGGATCCGCGCTGGGCCCCCCTCCCTGGCGAGCGGAGCGCGCCAGGGGCGGCGCCGGAGGCGCCGCCTGGGGGCCCATCGCCGATCCGAGAAATCCGCGCGGACCTCCGAGTCTATGTGTTCATGTCGTTCTTCGTTTCCCGAAGGATGCAAGGGTACCCTTGGGAACGTTGCCCATCCTGATTCTGCGGGTTGACTGTACGTTTTTGGGCGACCCAAAAGGGGGTCCAGCTGAAAGTGGGTGGTGCAGCAGATGTGGGGCAATTGTGTTGCAAATCTACTGCGCTGGAGAGTTGTATTGCGTTGTACTGCTAGTCATGTCTTGCACGCGAAAATCCAGCACTACATACACTCGCGCCCCGCAATGTGCTGCACGCCCCACATGTACTGCAGCCCCACAAATCTGTTGCACCAATTCTGTTGCACCACCCCCTTGTCTTATGTCGGGCGTGTCCCCCTACAGGGGGGTTTTCGACGAAAATTCAAACATGCCCCACAAATACCCCGAGATGGTCAAAAAATGCTCACAAAATCGTCCCCGAATTATGTTTGGACTATTGTTTGAATATTTTTGGGGTATTTTTTTATTTTTCGTCGAAAATCCTCCTGTAGGGCCTCACTGTAGGGGGACAGGCCCGACTTAACCCTTGCCGCTGGACCCCCTTCCGGGCCAACCCGAACGTTCCATGCCCGGGTCCTGGTTGCTGCTGGCGACGCGCACGGTGCCCGGGAACTCCGCGGCGAGCTCGGCGGCCCTGCCGGCGCCCCGCGGCGAGAGGACCACGAGCTCGGGCCCGCCGGGCCCGCTGCACAGCCCGCGCACGAGGGCGGCGCCGATGGTGCCGACGCCCACTACGGCGGGGCAGTGCCAAAGGGGGGGGGGCAGACCATATTTATGTATCTATATTTAAATACACACATCTCTTTATATATATACATATACATATACATTTACACATATATATATATATATATATATATATATATATTATTTTTGAACATTCCTCCTCTGGAGGGACAAGCCCGACTCGAGACTGGCCCTGGGGTGGAGGCATGGACCCCCGATCGCCCCTTCCTCGCCTTGGGGGGCCCCGTGCCAGCTTGCGACAGGCCGCCTCGCCCCAGCATCACAGGCCCCGGCTGGTTGCGTGCCTCTGTTGTTTCTCCCGCCGGGCTCCGGGATTGAGGAGCGCCGCCGGCCTCCCACCTGGTGCGGAGGGGAGGGGCTCCGCCAAGCAGAGCCCGCCGTGCATCTGCCCTCGGCTGCAGAGCCAGCCCCAACTCTGCGTCACGAGCACGCGGCCCCGAAAAACAGAGATCTCTCCCGGCCGCGTGGCCGATGGCCTGCTCTCCCAAATGATGCGCAGGCTCCCGTGAAAGAGAAGACGAGGAGGAGAGGAGGAGGAGGAGGAGGAGGAGGAGGAGGAGGAGGAGGAGGAGGAGGAGGAGGAGGAGGAGGAGGAGGAGGAGGAGGGAGGAGAGGAGGAGGAGGAGGAGGAGGAGGAGGAGGAGGAGGAGGAGGAGGAGGAGGAGGAGGAGGAGGAGGAGGAGGAGGAGGAGGAGGAGGAGGAGGAGGAGAGGGAGGACGGGAGGGCGTCGCAATTTTTCGGGGTCGGGCTATGGGAACTCCATCGCTCTCGCCCTTTTTGGGCCTGTGGGGGGGCCCTCGTCGCCACGGCGGGATTCGCCACGGAGTTCTGGTCAGGGCGCACCCCTGGAGAGGTCCAGGGAGCAGCGGTATCGTGATGTTCTGGTGCCCCGAGGAGTCGGCGGCTCAAACTTTGGGATCCAGGCGGTGCAATTTCATACCCGAGCCATTCTCGCACGATCTCGGCCCACGCGGCCCTCGCAGATCGATCTGGCTTTCAAAATGCAGCAGGAAGATGGGATCTGGGGCTCTGATCATGTGTTTTTTCGCAGCGTTGCATTTTGTTCGCGACGTCGGATCCCTGGGGTCACCACCAGGGGGGTCGCTCATTTATCGAGGAAGTGCCGATTTCTCAAAGAAGTGGGCCCCCAAGATCACTCCAGAGCCTTCCAAAGCAGCTCCCAGCGTCTGAAACCCATCTCGATGGAACCTCGCATTCCATAGGAGAACGGACAATGACATAAACATAAATTTCATCGGAAATGGCGCGCGGAGCGCGCCAGGGGCGGCGCCGAGGCGCCGCCTGGGGGCCCCAGCGCGGATCCGAGAAATCCGCGCGGACCTCCGGGTTTTATGTTTATGTCATTCTTAGTTCCCCTATATTCCAGGAGCAGCTGGTGACCTCTCCAGTGTTAGGTCGGGTATGTCCTCCTACAGGCGAATCTTGGACGACAAATTAGAAATAGCCCGAACATATGCCAGAATAGACAAAAAGTAATCAAAAAATCGTCCCCAGACTGTTTTTTAGTGTTTTTGAATACTCCTCTTGTAGAGGGACTGGCCCGACTGAACTCCAGTGGTTTAACCCCCCTGTCGAGTGAAAACGGCCTAGGACCTAGGACCGAAACCAACGGACCTGGACCCGCAAAAATGACAGCCGCGGCGCCCTCTCGCGAACCGGAAGCAGCCAATCCGCCAATCGACGTGTCGGGGTAGGAGGTCTCTCAACCTCTGGGACCATTCCAGGAGCAGCCGGTGACCCCTCTGGTGCTCAACCCGCCCCGTGGCGCTGCCCACGACGCCCAGCGTGGCCGGCATCGCGCCCGCGCCGCAGGGGGTGCTCGTCGCCACGCTCGGTGGCCCGCGGGGGGGGGACCCAGACCTCCGCGGCGCGCTGCAAAGCAGCTCACGACACCGACCTTGCGCAGCCGTGCTGCAGCGGAGCTTTCGGCGCGGATTTTCTGTCGATGCGAAACTAAAGGGGCCCACAAACACACACACACCAGTAAATTTACACAAGTCTGTCCCGGGATCCCCAATATCTGTGCATATGTTCTGGGTTTTCGTCTTCCCCCCCACGTCCCATATTTTCCCATATTCTCCTGGGAGTCGGCGACTCGTTGTGTCTGTGCGCTTCTGTTCCTCCCGACAAGCCCCAGCGAACGACGACGTGATTTGCACGCGGATTGCTGTTAGGCTTCCTTCGTGGCCCCAGAAACTCCGCACGAAACTCCAGTCGACGAAATCCGGAACGAAACTCTCCAGGACACTCCGGGCCCATCCGATTGTGCTCCGACCGAACTCCGCTCTGCGATGTTGGCGCCATGGTATGGCGGAGGGAGGAGGGGGGGGAGGGGGAGGAGGAGGGGGAGGAGGAGGGAGGAGGAGGAGGAGAGGAGGAGGAGGAGAGGGAGGAGGAGGAGGAGGAGGAGGAGGGAAAGGGAGGAGAGGAGGAGGAGGAGGAGGAGGAGGAGGAGGAGGAGGAGGAGGAGGAGGAGGAGGAGGAGGAGGAGGAGGAGGAGGAGGAGGAGGAGGAGGATAGGAGGAGGAGGAGAGGAGGGAGGAGGAGGAGGAGGAGGAGGAGGGGGGGGGGGCAGGGGGAGGAGGCGGAGGAGGAGGAGGAGGAGGAGGCTTTTCGTCGCCCTCGGCCCCTGGAGCCCGCTGCCTGGCCCCAAGACCACCACGAGCGGACATCCGAGACGAACAACGACCCCCTGGGCAACGGCAGAAGGTCGGGGCCGACCTCTGGGGCCTGGGGCTATGTCGGGCGTGTCCCCCTACAGGGGATTTTGGGCGAAAATTAAAAAATACCCCAAAATGCCCCCCAAATGCTCAAAAATAGTATCAACAAATCGTCCCCAGACTATTTTTGACTATTCCCCCTGTAGAGGGACAGGCCCGACTTAAGCCTGGGGCTGGAGACATCACATCTGAGGATGTCTGGGAAGGCAGAGGGGGCGGGCCTTGTCAGAAGCTCGTCGGCGCGCCCCGGGAGGAAGGCGGCGGATAAGGGGGGCTCGAGGTCCGAGGCTCGAAACGATTCGGGCGGCTTCGTGGGCTCTCGGCGGTTCTCCTCAGGAATCTTCTGACCCGGTTCAATCCAGACCCGGGTCAGCAGGGTCAATTGCAATGCAAGCCTTCGCAAACCCGGGCCAGCCAATATGCGCGGCCGCCTCGCGGCCGCGAGCGGCTCGCTAACCCGGGTCAGCCAGAGGGAGTCTCCGCAGGATCCTGCAGGATCCGGTGTCCTGGCTGACCCCCGTTTGCGTTGACCCCCGTCTCAAGGCGCCCGATCTCCGGCCTCGGAGTGCTCTCCCGGCAGCTGCGCCTCGCCGAGAGCGCCTCGGGGGTGCCCAATCTGGCCCGAACGGCCGCGCCGGAGAGTCGAGCCACAGGGCGCGCGAAAACCACCAGACGTCTGGGGGGTGGGGCGGGCCACCGCAGACCCGGAGATCTGGGCGCTGCCCCTTTTCACGCCGAACAGTTTCGCCCGCCTTCGGGCCGAGTGACCAGAACAAATCGATCTCGCTCGAGAAATGCTGCAGGAGGATGGGGTCTAGGGCTCCACATCGCGATTTGTCGTGATGCTGCACGTTTTCCTGTGCAACGTCGGATCTCAAGGCAAGGCTCAAACGGCCTCCGGCCTTCTGAGAGGTTTTCTAGCCAGACATGCGACGTCCTGACCTTTTCAATACGGGGTCCCCGGACATCTCGACCCATTCCCCGGGACCGGCTTTTCACCCTGCGTCGCTTTTTGACGGTCCTGGGGCCCAGCGAGGGCCTCTAGAGGTCGAAATCGGTGAAAACCTCTAGAGGTTGAAATCGGTCGAAATCGGTGAAGAGGATCTTGCAGGACGTTGGATCTCTGGGAATGCTTCCCAGAAGGCCAATTAATGTGGCCCCTGGGAAGCCCGGCGGCCGCCTTCCGCGAGAGCCTGCCGCCTCTCGCGTGCCCCCCGTCGGCGGGCCGCCGACATGCCCAGGGCTCGACAGCCAGTGCCCGAGGCCGAGCCGAGCAGGGAGCGTCAGCGCCGCGGGGCAGCACAGGGGAGCCGGAGCGGCTGCGGACGCAGACCCCCTCGGGCAACGAAAACATCGTGACGGGCGGTGTTTCGCCATCTTCGGCCTCGGGGGGCCCTCGCCGGGCCTCGGGACCGTCAAGAAACGACTCGGGGTGAAAAACCGGTCCAGGGGAATAATCATGACGTCGAGCGGTTGCGGGCAGGATGGGGGGGAGGGGCTGGGGAGCGAGGCGGAGGAGGAGGAGGAGGAGGAGGAGGAGGAGGAGGAGGAGGAGGAGGAGGAGGAGGAGGAGGAGGAGGGGAAGCGAGGTGGACTGGGGCGGTGTTGGTGAGGAAGGGAGGCGTGCCCAGCTCTCAACGCCGACCTTCCCAGTCTACCTCTACGACCACCCTTCGGACGAGGAGGAGAAGGTTGGTGGGGGGAGAAAGAGCCAACTGACGACAGCTGCGATGGAGGTGATGATGACGTCGCTGGCGATGCACCCTCGAGTTGGCGACGACGCGCGGTGACGATGCTGCGTCGCGGTGTAGTCCCACCATCGATCCCATTCGATTGACCTCACCATCGAGACAACACCAAACACCAGGGCACCATGAGGCCAAATAAATGCCACCTCTACTGTGCTGTGATGGTTGGTGCTAAGTGTGATGGCTGGCTGCTGATGGCAAGGTGATGGCCGCAGTGGTGATGAGTGTGTCGGCGACAGCAACGGCAGTAGTGCTGGGTACGATCGGAACACGACCGGGCCACATAAAAGCCACCACCACTGCGCTGCGATGGCAACGTGACGATTCGGCGTCACAGTCGATCCCGTGGCCGGTGATGCTGACATTCAAAAGCATTCGGCGTATCGGATTCTCTGCGATCCCCTGCCCAAGTCTCACCGTGGACGCCACGAGGACAACATCGAGACACCATTGAAACACCACCAGGACACCATCAGGACACCCATCGGGACACCATCGGAACACCACTCGGGGCACCTATCGGGACACCACCTGGACACCACCGAGACAGCATCGAAACACCACTAGACTGGGACACCAATCGGGACACCAATCGGGATACCAATCGGGGCACCAATCAGAACACCATCAGGTCGCCATCGCTCACACTATTGATCTCTCTCTCTATCGACTATTGACCTCATTGTCGATCTCGCTATCGGTGGTTTCACTCGATCGATCCCACCATCGCTCCCACTCGATCGATCCCAGTTTTGATCTCATTCTAGATCACACTATTGATCCCCCTATTGATCTCACTATCGATCTCACCATCGGTCTCACTATCGATCTCACTATCGGTCTCACTATCGATCTCACCACGGGACACCACGGGACACCGACGGGACTCCGACGGGACACCAAAGGGACACCGACGGGACACCCGCGGGACACTGACGGGACACCACGGGACGACATCGTCACAGCATCGGGGCACCAATCGATCTCCCTATCGGCTTCACTCGCTCCATCTCACTATTGACTCGATCGATCTCTTTATCAATCTCACTATTGCTCTCACTACCGACCTCACATCGCTCTCACTATCGATCTCACCATCGATCTCACCACGGGACACTACAAGGCACCAACGGGACACCGACGGGACACCCGCGGGACACCGACGGGACACCGACGAGACACCACGGGACACTATCGGCACACCATCGGGGCACCAATCGATCTCACAATCGATCTCACCATCGGTCTCACCATCGGTCTTACTACCGATCTCATTCGCTCGATCTCTCTATCGATCTCACGATCGGCCTCTCTATCGATTTCACCACGGGGAACCGACGGGATACCGACGGGACACCACGGGGACAACGACAAGACAACGACGGGACAACGATGGGACAGCGACGGGACAGCCGCGAACACCCCGACAACGGGACACCGAGGGGACACCATGGCGGGACAACCCGGCCACCGCGCGCCCACCGGGGGGGAGAGGCGGACAACCACCGCTCTTGACCCGCCCTGGCCACAGCGGGGTCATTCCTCTCGCCCGCCCACGCAGCTTCGCCTCGCCCGCACTCGCGACACGAACCCGAAACCGAAACCGACTTCCCGGTGGGGGGCTCTTCTTTCCACTCCGATCTCACCCCCCAACCCCCCATCCTGCGCGATCCCGCACGTGCTTCTCAGCCACCACCTACGCCTATATTCTCCTGTTGAGACCAACGCCTCGATTCCAAGCGCCGTGAACAATACCGAGACTGGGGGCAGTACAGTAGGGGCCCGACCACAAGAGAACTTCAACAAGAAACCCAACCCTGAAACCCCAGGAGGTCCATTGGTTTGTTGTGTGGGAGCGTCACGCTTTGCATGGCAAAAGCATCGAAACCCAAACCCAGGGCACACCTGGAGGCGAGCAAGGTGTTTCTTGGCATGGGTCTCCACTGCAGGGGACAGCGCCTGCCAAAGAGGCTGGCGGCAGCGCAGGCTAGCACCGGAGCCATATAAACAGTCGGGGGCACGGTCGGCCAAGGATGCCTCCCAAAGACTGCTCACACAGCCGATGCGCCTTGAAGGCCACACAAGATGCATGGCAGGGCCCCAAAGCTAGAAGAGCAAAGACGCCATACACATAAACTGTTGGCGCTCCGCGCGGATTTCTCGGATCCGCGCGCCAGGGGCGGCGCCGGAGGCGCCGCCGGGGGGTCCCAGCGCGGATCCAAGGAACCCGTGCGGAGCGCTGAAAGTTTATGTTTATGGTGCTTTTTTCGTCTGCGAAGATCAAGGGGCACAAGGACACACAAACGACTACACGCAAATCCCAGAATTCCCCACATCCTCCCATGTTTTTAGGGCTTTCGTCTTCCCCCCCACTTCCCATGTTTTCCCATATCTTCTGGCGGAGCGACGATTGCTTGTGTCTGCGTGTTTTTTCCACTCCCGAGAAAAAAAGGTGGAACC